CTATGATTCTATGATTCTATGAAACTACATTTGCTTCACTTACAGAACATGGGACCTTGATTTCATTCTGAGCTTTCTGTACTTTTTTACCTTCTTGGGTCCAATTATGGCCCTCCTTCATTGTGTCCTATTGCATTTTACAGGGGACTGCATCCTTGCTTTTTTTTATGAAAAACAATTAAGCTGTTAATAACTTTTTGAAGAAAACCTACACTAGATTTTTGCACAGAGTGAATGTTTGAAATTTGAGGTCATTTTTGCATACTGTTTTCACAAAAAGCAACCACGATATGGAATGCAGTCTGAGTGTTGCATGTTGGATGTGTGCATTCTTCCTTCCACTTGTCCGAGTGCTCGTAAGTTTCACAACCGTGAAGCTATCAGGTTTTGTGTTCAAACTGAAGGCAAACTGGGGACCAAAATCTTGGAGATATTTAGTACAAAATGAAGGAAATAAATAAAGGAAACAAAATAAAACAGAGGCTAGGAAAGAAATGGGAAGATTGCTATCTGTTCCTACCAGGGACAGAACAATGAATAAAAAATGTAAATTGCAAGGAATTGTAAGGATATTAAGATTAGATTTTAGGGAAAACTGTGTAATGAGGCCAGTGAAGAGCTGGAACTGACTGCCTTGGGAGGGCTCCAGAACATCTATCAAGGTAGAATTTTAAGAACAGGCTAGTAACTACCCATCAGGAAGGGTTATGATACCAATGATCTTGCTACAGAGGCAACAAGGTATTGGACCAAATAACACAATCTTATTTGATGTAATTTGTCCCAAACTCTGTTTCACAGCTCAGTACTCATATTAGTACTCAGCTCAGTACTCAGTCTAGCTGACTCATATCAGTCAGCTAGATCTGTAGCTCCAAGTCTGGAATCAAGCCTTTTCAGTATCATCCAAGAAAAACTTGCAACTGGAGTTCTGCTGAAGGCAAGAAAATATATGAAGACTCTCCTCCCTCCCTGTCCAAACAAATGGTTGTTAAAAGATTTTACACCTCAGTTATCAGACAATACTGATAACATTCCCATGTGGCTTTAAGGTTCCCTTATAATGTGTGTCCCTGGACACAGCTATTTCATATGTCCAAAATTGGCCTGTTGTCAACAGCTTCTACACCTCCCTCCTCAACGAGAGTAACTGCCCCTGTGTCTACATGCCTCTACTCTTGGTCCGGCTCAGTAGCCACAAAAATCTGCATCACCACAGACTGAATGACTTCTCATCTAGTCTGCTTTTTGTCTAATCCTTTCACAGTGGCTGCTCTGGGACAGGGCTGGAAGATCCTCTAGATTCGTATGACAGGTACACAGCCTTATGCATCTCCCCCATGTGTTTTCCCAACACAGGGCACGAGCAGAGACAAACATTTCCTTCTGCAACTCAGCAACATTTCAAATGCATAACGGTGAATGAAGCTTACTTCATTTGCAAGAGTCTGGACTGAATCACTTGGACTTATTTTTTGAAAGCTGTGATATCCTGAATTTCGCACACAACTCCTGTTTCTATGCAGGAAGGCAGCACACACTGGAGTACTGCTAAAGAACGGAAGTAACTATCCTGGTTTATGCAGCTCTTGCTCAGTGTCAGATGCTGAGTCAAAAAATGTTATTTTTGTGTGCTATGGCAGGGAAACAAGTTATATCCCTCAACTTTCACTTCACCAAAAGCTTGGAAAAAATTCAGAACAAGATGAATAAACTCTACTTAAATTCTTAAAATAATTAATTGCTCTTACTTAAATCATGGCTATGTTGCTGTAAATGTTTATGCCTGCAGCCTTCTGGACCAGAATTCTTGTAGCAGCAATCACAAGTTGCTGTTCTGTGGAGTAGTGAAAACCCAGCAACAAAAGACTCGTGACTGAAGCGCGGGATCAGATGATCAGTTCATTCAAGATTAGAAATACACTGAGGATAAAATCCATGCAATTACCTTCCCCTCCTTTGAGAGGCAGGGAGGAAAAGAAGGGATCTGGGTACCTGTAAGGAGGGCGTGGTAATGCAGACCCTTCTCTTTATCCTGATGAGAGCAGACATCAAATAAATACGCTTTGATGGGGCCATCAATAAAATCAGCTGCAAAATCAAAAAGCACTACTCCCAGCATGGTAATGACTATTGCCCATGTCCGCTTCTTGTCTCTCTCATCGATGAAAGCTACAAAAAGAAAAACACCCTCATTCTGACAGCAACAGTGCCACATTCTGAAAAACCACGTTTTCTTTCCTGATACCTTCACACCTAAACAATGCTTAATTATGCAAGAGAGAGCAGTGATACCTGAATCACATCAGAGACGCAGGACAAGTGAGTCTGTAGTGCTGAGCTGTGCTCCATTGACTTACTGCCTTGAGCCAGCACAAGCTCAGAGTACTTCAGTCTCCACAATTAAGAGCATCACTTGCCTTAATCTACTCCTTGGCACCTCTGTGGAACACTCTGGTAGCCTAACACACACATTTTGTAGTACTTCTTTGTATTATTCTACTTGTCCCACCCTTCCATTGTTCTCGATAATCCAGATTTGACTGTAACATGTCTTTTTGGGCAAATGCATACATGTACATCCAACGCCAACGACACCCAGGAAGAGAGAACAGATCAATCCATAAAAATGCACACCTCCCTGCTCTGTCAAGCCATAATGGCAGCAACAACTTTTCATCAAGACTTTGAGAAGTGACATCTCAAACTGAAATACAACAGTATCCAGGGATGTCACGCCTATTTGATTTTGCACATTCCAAATTAAACAGTTTCCAAGGAGTTGCGGATTTCTATTCACCCGCATAACACAGTCCCAAGACAAGCCAGTGCTGCAATAATTAAAACATATCTATTTTGAACATCCATCCATCTAAAATAAGGAATAACAGATATTCAGTTCGGATGTGTATTATATCACACAAACAATATAATTATTTAACTTAAGGTAGATTTTAGTTCACAAAAACTTCCCTGGGCCTAAGCAGTACTTTACATATGAACTGATCAGGCAACCACACCAACATACAACATACTGTAATCACATGCACAACCTACGGAACACGGTGTACGGGGTACATGGCATGCAGCATTAGGATGGAACATACATGAGTATTTCAGTGTTCCCCATCTCCTTCAATGTAGCTCAGTAACAGGATACCCAATTTTAACAGTCCATTTTAGCAGAGAAAAAAAAAAAAAAGAACCCCCTCTTTTCTTTTTGAATCATAAGGCTAGGATGAGTTTTGTCTGTTAGCACAGTGTAAGCCCCTCACTCACCTGAGATGATCATGTCCCCATTGAGGTACAAAGTCATGCCTACCAGCATTATGATGCCCAGACCCAGAATGAAAGGTCGCCTCCTGCCCCAGCTACAGGTGCAGTGATCACTGGCTGAACCTACCACGGGCTGCAGCACGAAGCCCAGGATAGGGCTGATGAGCCACACCAGGCTGTAGAGGTTCTTGGGCAGCCCTACACTGAGCAGCACCGGTGTGACAAAGGCGGCCTCCACGGCATAGCAGAACTCCCGGCCGAACATCGCCATGCTGTGCATGATCAGCCTTCCCACCACTTGACTGCTCGGCACCACTGCTCCAGTCCTCATCGCAGCCTGCAGCCCAGCCTCCTCCTTCTCTCTGGTGCTGTCCATGTCGGCCTTGGCCCCCTCAGAAGGGGGGGGAAGCGCTCCGTAGAAACTTTCCTTCGTTAAGGTCATGGCTCGGGCTCTGCGCAGCGCTGTGGCGCGACGGTGCTGCCCGCTCCGGCTGACATGGAGCCCAGGTCATATGCTGGGTGGGATCGGCCTGGGCTGGGGGAGGAACTCACATACTTTCATGGCTCTGTGATCACAAGTTATGCAAGGAAGGGGGCGGGGAAGCATTTGTTAACACTAGCAGATCTGAGCTCTTGGGCGTCTGTAAACCTCACAGCTATCCACAACTAATGAATTGCTGCAGAAGCACGAAACACACATTAACAGTAGCATACATCACATGGGCAGGGCAGGACTAGCTTGATACAAAGCTATTCCTCCCATCTCTGTAAGACACCAAGAAATCTCAAGCCCTCATCCTTCCATTCAGCACACAACGTGAGCATCAGTGTTGATGCCCTGTCGATCAAACAGGTGGAAAAAAAAAACACTTTTATGTGTCTAGAAAAGGATTGCAATGCACATCATGAAGACAAGTAAGTGAACCTACCTATTGCCCTAGAGTATTAGTGGCAGATAAAAAGCTTGACAGAGTCTGTCAAACAGCAGCTGGTGAATTTGTATGTGCTTTTTGCTACCTTCAGGAAAACTTATTATTTTCTTGGCTTCTGAAAAACAAAGGGTATCAGGGTCACTTAGGGTTTTTTTTGAACAGTCTTACCTGACAAGAGAAGATGTTGAAAGAAATCTGTAGCGACCCACTGAAACTATAGCTCCCAGGTTAGCCACCTGAGGCAGCTGATTCAACCTATGCTTCAGTTAACATGAGTTTCTAAATGGACTTCAGCAATTTTGGGGTCAAAACTTGTATGTACTGGAGATTAAATTTGACAGTGTTTACTGTTCTCCAACACAATCAGATGTATTTGGGACTCAGAAATCTGTCAAATCTTACTGCAAAGGTGTGTACTAATCAGTAATTTACATCATAGTGATTATCAGCAGGA